TTCGAAAAAATAGATTTTTCGTATGTTTTACTATTGATCAGCAAATTTCGGCCAATACTTTTTGGTAGTGAGTGTATTTACGCATAATACCTCATGTTACACGCATATATTTTATTATCTGACGTACTTGTAACTTTCGTAAAAAGGCTACCGTTTCCAATGCTGCGGATAGTCAGCAATTATCGTTCTCATTTATCATTGTTGGGAGAAAATTAAAATTAAATTAGCAGGCTGATTATTTGACGTGTTTCTAACCATCATTTGCAAGGCGTTGGTTGATTTATTCTTAAACAGATTTATTCTGCTTATTAATTTTAATTTGTTTGGATTTCCATTTCCTTTCCTATCGCCTGCAATGACATATAAAATTACGCCGATTAATATTACAGAACGTCATTATCTAATACCAGCGTCCACTACGACTGGGCTTTAACTCTTCAATTAAACGAATAATGGGTCCGCATATATATACAGTTAAATAACAGTATCAAATTACAATCAACCGGAACACGCGCCAAGACTCACCAATTTAAATATTAACAATATACTTTTATTTTTTTCTCTCTAATATTATATAAACCACTTTCAATCCAAAAGCTAATTCACTAACAATCTTCAATATGCACACCGATTTCAACAATATTACGTATCGAAATGTACAAAAACATTTCTCAAATAATGTCAAATGTTATCTCAACTCCAGTTGCTTATTTTTGTAATCCATCAATTACATCAACACATCAGTCACTACCTTTTCTCCATGGCTATTTCAACGCGTACGCAGTCATTACACACGCCTCCAAAAGACTATCCTCTTCCAACACATATGTCGTTTATGTGCTTTAGTACAAAAGTAATTATATCTACTAAAGCAGAAAGATAAGAACACTAAATACCCGCTCAGTTTAAATTTACATACATCAACTATATATTCTCGGAGAACAAATGTCTGCTTGCAATAGTTGTAAAACTCGCCAAAAACGGATGCTTTTTCCCTATATTTAGCCATCCATTCGTGCAACAGAAGTTTTTGTCGCCTGTCTTCCTACATGGCGCTATTGTTCATAAATGGATTACAAGGCAGACAACCGTACTTTTGCAATAATGGTAAACAAGCATCAAGAACAGAATTTTATTGCAAAATTAACCGTTTATAAACAGTCCATCAGTGTATCTCTAGCACTTGATCAAGCATATGTTAGGCGCTCTAAACGGAAAAATGTCCAAATCATGAGTTTACAGAGAAATGTTTTTAAAATTAAGTTTAAAGTAATGAAAAATACCAACGCTTAGGAGGAAGCGGTTAAACAACATTGTTTTATTCACGTACATATTAGATTCCATAGTAATAGTAATAAAACGCATCACACGATGATATGCGTCGAATTATTCGTTCTGGGACACACGCAACATACGCACTCAAATGTAACCGAAAGATGTGCGTCGAAGCGTTTGACGCTGAACGTATTCACTCAATTTATGACTATTTTGTCAGCAGTTTATGGTTAGATAGTAAATCCAGTTTTCAGACATTATGGTTAGAATATATTTGGGCGTCTGATGTTTAATCACGTCATGATGGTTAGATTGTAAACGTAACTTTAACCATATGATAACTATCAGTTGGGTAGCGTGCGTGGTTAGATTATTGATGATTTGCATTGGTACTAGTATTAGCTTTAACATTATGACTGTTGCGTGCATCATTGATAATATTAATATCGGATCGCTTGCAATAAGCTAACCAAGTTTATATTAACTTCAAAAATTTTTAAGGATTGATCGTCGTTTGCAGGGACAATATGCAGGTGCCGATCATGTTGAGACATGTCTTGTTTTCAAAAATCGGTATTTAAAATTTTTCTAATGCTAAAATTTTTTTTCCGTAACGTAATTTTTTTACGTTTTCTATGGGTTGCGATTTTGAGGTTTTACTATTTCTCATTTTCCTTTGAGTGTTCCATGAATATTTACCTCGCCGAGAAATGGGAGAATGGGGAAGAAAGCTGTAGCCGCCGCCCAGCAAAGATTAGCCAGTGAATTAGCTAATGCCACCGAAGATACCAAATTGGAGTTAGAATTACAAAAGCAAGCACTGGAAGAAGCCATGGCTGCAACGAAATTAAAAATAAGAAAGTTGTTGAGAAAAAAGAAAAACATACCGAAGAAGTTGTTCGATTGCCTGCCATGGCTGAGGGGCATCGTTCCGAACCGTCTCTCTTTTGCGATCAGAAATTTTCTGCCCCCTAATATCCAGAAATAATTCAAGTGCTTCGGAGTAGGATTCCGGAATGATCACCATACTACATACTGTACTACTCTCTCTCAATACCGCAGCAATCATCTGCATTACTACATAAGAAGGGCTTCGGCATTTTCTACTTTCGTTAACTTGGCCAAAATGCTCCCAGAAGAACTCCTAACCCAGATTTTTGAGGAGCATGCCAACAGCTGCCGCATGCTATACACCTGCTCATTAGTCTGCAGGAGTTGGTGTGCGGTGGCCCTTCAATTTTTGTGGGCCCACCCCTTCAAATTAGTTCGAATACATTCAAACCATAGCTCAGCTATAAAGCTGATAAGTACGTTTAATGATTGTCTAGACAATCGGCAACTAAGACCCCCATTTAATTACAATATTCATGTGAAGAAGCTTTGTGTCTGGGACATTAGAAAGCTCTACGGGATAGGCAGTTGTTCTAGCAATAGTGCGGCGTTTAAAATGATCCTCCTGGCAATTCAACGTTGCCCTAAGTTGGAAAAAATATCTCTCAAAGGTTGTGAGGAACGTGGTTCTTATCTAAGGGGAATGTTGTCCGTTCCTTCGTTACGGGCATTATGTTTGCCTTTACCGTACACCGATTCAGTGTTCGACTTGCTTTGTGCACTTTCTAGGACAGCACACAATTTAGAAACAATTTCCATTATATCTAATGACAAATTCATCCTGGAAGAATCGCTCGAACATGATTGTTTGCAACTACTTATACAATCTCAAAATCGACTTAAGAAAATTAAAATGACAAAAGTTGAGATTAAGCTGTGTTCGCTATTCAAATTATTGGAGTCACAGTCAAATTCTCTGGAATCAATTGTTTTGAAAGAGTGTATTATCCTTAAAGACGATCCAGATTTTATGCCTGGATCAATTACATTTCATCGGTTGACAAACTTGTGCATGTCTAAGTGTGAGCTTTCAATCGGTATGGTTATTGTTCGGGCACACGTACCAAATTTAAAACGATTTGATGTTATCAGATGTGAAGCGGATTTTGGCTGGAATGAGTCTTGGGCCATTTTGTAGAATGTTTATTAGTCAGTCTATTGGATTATTATTATCAAATTTACATTATTATTATTTATGCACATTTAGTATACGACTTTTTTTTTTATTTCAATTTATATCGAACTTATTATGATGAACACATGTCAAAGGCATAGAATGGCTATGCTATTACTACGTTTTAATACCATAAAACTTATGGTACACTTTGTAACCGAAAAATACTTTTTCGAACTAATGTACTGCATGCTTTTGGATATTTATTTTACTATTATCATTTATCATTATCAGTGTTCTCCAATTTCTATTCAGAACTATTTTTACAATTAATTCAATTAACGTTATTATTATACCACGTTAGAGAGATATTAAGATCGATTTGTACAAGAGTAGATTCGTTTAACTAGAGGAAAAGTTGAAATACGAATCGAAAGAAAGTTATCAATAGTTCAAGACATTTGGTAATACGTTATTGTTTGTGATAATTGTGTGCTTTTTTTTTAAGAGTAAAAGAAAAGTGTGTTATTTTGGTCTACTTTATATGAATGGTTTGTGCGATTTTTTCGTTTTCCGTTGAATTTAATACTCTAACCTGACGTAAAATAGGATCTTAACATATGTAGGGGAATTGGCAATGCAATAGGGCGTTTGTTTTTCTGACGACAAGTGACTTATTAAACATGGAATTCAACCTCCAGCTCAAGAAGCTGCGGCTGCCACACTGCCAGCAAAATTGGTTGAAGGAGCGTGTGGGAACAGCCATGCAACTGACAGCGAAAGTGCGAGTTGCATGTCTACATGCGTCTGAATACTTGCCAATAAATAATCAGTTGTAGAACATGGTAATAAGTCTTCGGTAAAGGTAAAAAATCGCAAAATTTATCCCAAAAATCCTAAAAAACATGATCTGGAATATTCAAACAAAGGTCATCTTGGGACAGGAAATTGATTTAAATTCCGTTCAGAGAAAGAAACTCAATTATTACAAAATTAACGATATCATCATTAATTTAGATGTCGTTTACTAGAATTGCTTGTAAGTAGAAATAGGGCGCAATCACGTAATCCCAAACCATAAATTAGATATTGTTCCTTGTATGCATTAGACGTTCAACTGACTGTTGCATAGGTTTGCAGCATGGTCGAGTGCTTTCCGTATGGTAAATGATGAGACAACAAAGAGATAATTCCGAACAGGTCAAGTGATGATTATCGACAGGGAGAGTGAATTTCCGCAGAGTTGTGTAGTGAATGGTCGTGGGAGAAAGGGTGGAAACGTGTGACAGTTGACTGAGCGGGCCAAATAACGTCAACTGTAAGGAACATTGAGAATTGAACAGGGAACTCTGGTGGGGCGGTATTGGAATAAGAGAAGCATGCGATCACGGTTAATGGCATTCGGCGTCCTCCGTCCTCCGTCTGATGAATAGTTTGGTGAGGACTTTAAGCTTATCCGATAGATTGGTCGAAGGAGATGTGGTAATACGAGCTTCTCTAACTGGATAAACATATTGAGCGGGTAAAAGAAGTAACAGGAAAATTAAAACAGTTCTTGAAGATGGAATTTTACTGAAGGAGATTCATCCAGAAAGTAGCGGATAACTTGCACGTGCCACGACTCAACCGGGAACGCCTATACCCCGGACGAGCCTATGAAACCATCAACCCTTTGCTCAATGAGCGATCCTTCTTACGAATTACCGGTATCTAATCGTTCTATTACATTGTTCCATCACAATTTGGCGTGCGAGTTAGTAGCGGCCGTTCTCCGGTCGGTTGTCTTTTCGGGCTCTTGTTGGTGCAGCTGCGATGGCCGATGCTGTCGTCGCCTATCTATTTCCCGTGGAAGCCCAGGTCAATCAAATGGCGAGATTTCAGATACACACCGACATGGTAAGTAGTTCCTGTTCGCGTAAGATAAGTCTGTATAATGCTAGCATTTTCATTTAAATCTAGTCCTTGAAGTGTGAGCGGAAATTATTGCAATGTTTGGAAAATGTTTGTATTAATTATGATTGTCTGTGCCCATTAACAACATTATTCCAGATGCTGACCGTACCTCTTCGTTTCATAACTTCCAGGACCAGAGGATTCACGAGCGTTTAATCAGAGTCCGAGCCGTCTACGTGAATTTTCCGTAGAAACTGTAAGAAAGCGAATAGCTACATATGCGCGCTATTCCGACTTGAACAAGATTCCCAGACACATGTAACCGAAATACAAGAGGAGATCTAATGGTAATTGTAAAGGTAAAGAGAAAGAAGATTTCTTCGAAAAACACTGTAGGCAACAGGATTATACGGGTTGGGATCGGAAGAGACGGGTACAACTTTTGAAAAGAATGTGGGAGATCGTTAAATATGAGGAAGGTAGCCTAAAGAAAAGTACAATGAAGAGAAGCATGAAAATTTCAAAAGCGTATGAAGAGATGTAAAATGTGTGGATCGATAGCTCGGATGAAAGAAAGTTATGGTATTGAATAAAGAGCATTTGTGCGGATTCGAAAATTGAAGAAGACACCGTGGAAAAGAATATAGGGAAGGGATTGACGAATATGCCATATCTTAATATTCTTGATTCTGTCTAGGATGCCTGACTCGACGAAGTAACACATCTTTACGTTGAGACTGAATGGCATACGGAGCTCTATTGTTTTCGGTGAGTAAAAGATAAGGTTAGAGTGGCGTTAGCCGCATATTGTATCTATGTTTGGTAACATACCTGTAAAGCTTTTGCTCTTGGTGTTCTGCTTTTAAGACGTACGCAAGCAACACTGCGATCACTATTTCCACAGCACGGGTCATCATTCCACAGCACGGATCATTGTTTATAAAGATAAAGCTGCGTCTAGTTATCGGAACCGGATCTTATTCATTGGCACATTGAAAGAAGTTGGCAAAACACCAGCAAATCCACATGTTGGTAAATAGCCTTTAATGCTGTGTGGTGGTGGGTTTGGCATAGCCTATTGTAGAACATTGATTGAGAATGAGTGGTTTGGTTTGGTGACAGTGTGTTAGTATGCTACAATTACAGTTCAGTTTGATATGCACCTTGACCGAATACAATCTCATCATTAGATCAGGATACATATATGCTTTTCCTGCAAACGATGAAATGAATGAATAAAGTCTCTTTAATTGATATGCATGCTTGTTATTAATTAAAAAGGTTGGTACCTTTCGTTAACAGTCCGTGATATATTGCTATGGGTATCGACGTCAGTTCAAGCTTGTTAATAGTACGTCCCAATCAAGAAATGATTTTGGTGTTGTTAAATACCAAGCATCTGACCATAATAGGCAATAATCAAATGTATAACCGGCAAGATAGTGAAGTATCAGCCAACCTCTGGTCCAGTGGATCAGCTGGAATCCTGGTCTCGTCAGTATTGCGAGTTGGCACATGTTGTCATCGGGCAGTCGGCTGAACGGACAAAGTACAAAACCATATTCATTTTCAAGCATGCTACGAGCAATCAATTTTCTCCTGGAAGTTAACCGCTGTTTCTTGGCCTCTTCCGAGCCCATCTGTCAGACGGACCCTGGCATTGTAGTCATCGTCGAACCAAAAGGTGCTTTGGGAGTTGCCGGTAATTGAGGAGATACTGATGATTGAAGAGACGCCGATGATTAATTGAGGTGGGAAAAAGACGGGCTGACGGTTTGGAAGAACCGGTAGTCGCGAAGAGTGTGTTTTACTATTCGCAGTCTTGACGTTTTTCGTAAACTATTGTTGAAAACGTAACTTCCAGGAAACGAGTGTTTGACGGCTGCTACCAAGAGAAAGGGGTCCCTTCCCACGTTCCTGATCACGTTTTTGAAAGATTCGTGCCGTCTAGGTGGAACGAAAGTAATCATGATTCAAGCGCTCGCGTCAGGATAATGTACAAGCGACATCTATAGATATGTAAAACTAGGGCGAACCTAGATGTTTTCAAATGCCATATTATGTTAGGATTTATGTATTATTGTTGCATACATGATAACTGAAAATTAATATATTACCACAATCATTTCTACGACTTCTGTTCGATATCACGTCTCCAATCACCGAATTATCTGAAAAAAGACAAGGAGTCAATATTAAATGGCTTGGTTAATTTAAAACTCGACACCGCGTAAGGTTAAAGATGCCTACAGTGTGTGATTTCATAATACCAATTTCGCTAACACTTGTCGCATGCAATTTAGACGAGAGGAATTATCAAATTACTGGTCGCTAGGGTAATTAGAGCGACTGATATGCAAATGTTTTTTCCCATTCCAGCACGATAATTATCGAAAGGAATTTGATATGGGAGGAAGAGGCTTCTTCTAGCTTTATGTATAGAATACTCTGTCCATATTTGCTATCGATTATTTTCATCAAGTCCCCGCACTACAAAATCCTAGGAGTCAAAAAAAATAAACTTTGTTTAGATAAGATCTATTATTGACACAAGTTAAATTTCAAACGAACCTGATCTTGTCTGACGAAGTGATGGTAACGTCAGATTGTTCTTCAAATGCCCTGCTAACGCGAAGAGTAATAAGCAATATGTCACCTAGCGCAATTTTTCTCGTTCTATCAAATGCCTTACCGATTCAGCACGAGGGTCTTTCGATTGTATCATCACTCCAGTCCATACGGCCCGGGTCTGTTCAATTGGTGATCCAATGAATCTTCAGTATTGATAATTTAGCGCAGATTGGAAAAATCCTCCACCTTTAGTAACAATTACTGAAGCATATGAAGCATTGAAAAAAGTCATCAGATTGAAGAGTGTTAATGAATCGAATAACGTACCCACCTCAGTGTTTATTGTTATATTCAGTCACAGATGTTGCAATAAATAATCAAGTTTGTAATATTATAAATTAAAAAATGCGGGGCGAAACAAAGGGAACGTGTCAAATTTTTTATCACGTGATTTATGTGGCTTAACATTATTATCATCGGTGATACTACCCAACGTTATTATTATAGTTGACACTTTGACTATAATCCAAGACTCCTAAAGTTTTAAACAAAAATACCACATGTACAAAATCTTCCCCTTCAGTTTGCCACCATATGGCTTTATCAATTTGGAGAGAATCAGAGGGATGAGGATATACAAAGCCTTCACAGAAGAACATCCAACCCACACCCGCGCAGTCCTGGCGGATCGATCGAGCACTAAGAAAAGTCGTCCAATTGATAGAGGACGAGTTCGCCACCGCCACCGCCGCAAGTCAAAACAAAGACCCAAGCCCAAAATGCCTTTACCAAAGTGTATAGGAAAGTTGGACTTTACATCTCAACCACAACCCAGTCATGGGAAATTATTTAAAATGCTGGACAGGGTTGCCCAGAAGTCTTTTGTACACAATACCGTCAGATGTGTATTCTTTTGGTATGATCATGATAGGAAAAAAGCATAATTCATGATTATTGGATTAATACTGGCAATATCTGGATATAATTAATAACAGAAGCGATGATGGGGGGTACATATCTAGATTTGTTTCTTTAAACTTACATTGGTTACGGAATCATGTTCTCGAAATTGTATATTATAATTAACGCGCACTATTAGATACTACCAATACTGTATAGTATATAAGAACTTCGAAATTAAAATTCAATTGCGATTCAGATTATTTATCTGCTCATAATAAGTCTTCGAAATTAAAATTCAGATTATTTATCTGCTCATCATAAGTCTCCCGGTGTTGTCAAATGAACGGGACAGAGGATGATGATGTGGTGTTGGATTATTATTATGAATTGTTATATGAAAATAAAAATGATGAAAATTCCGAAGTAATAAATTTTCAATAGTATTGACGGTGAAGAATATGAAGAAGTCAGAGGCAATAATGTTTGGGAATTAATCATAATCATACTTTAATAAAATTTGTTTATACTGAACCAATTTTGTGTTATCTCTGATCTTAAATTTTAATTGCCTGTTAGAAGGAGAGTACAAATCACAGGGGGGTATATATGCCGGAGGGATACCATAACTAATACCCGGGTATAAATCAAAATTTGGCCTTCAAAATTGCCGCACACTGGGGATACTCGTGTCGGTACATTGTTCGTTTGTAAATTGATTTGGAATGAATAGACATTCTTTTCATAAATATGTTGAATGGTTTGATATTGAATCGGCCGACGTCTAGTCTCTGTGTGTGTATGAAAGGCATAATAATAATATAAATATAAAAAGCTGTTATAAAGTTGTGCTGAAAGGGAAATTTTGGATTTCTTATAATTACCCATCAAAGACATTCCAGTCCACAACCACTACTCTCTCCTATGGGTATGCCACCCAATTTAGTAGCACAATATTATGTCGATGACGTTTTCGTAATTGTCATGTTCCGTGTTCCGCACGATTGTGCGACCTTCCGCTTACTTCACCAAGATACTCGACTAGTTTATGATCGTCATCTGCCCTATTAGAATATATGGGTTAGGCTTTGCGACATTGCCTTTGTTAAGCAAACAAGTAGAACACGCAGCAATAAAATTCCTTTCGCGCTCACTTACACATCATGGAATATACGTGTCATTTTGCTACAATACTTCAAGCCGTTTAATTCGTAATATTCTCAAGAATGCCCGTTCTATATTCTGGTGAAGACAAGTCTTTCCGAGACTAAAATTGTGCAATTGAAAGGTTTGAGTAATTAACGGTTACTACAAACATAAACTCACCCGACAATGATCGATAATACGGGACATCTAGTTACCTTCCAAACAATCGAATTTCTCCTGTCAAGACATGAACACTAGTCTGATCTGCAAGTAATGGGATAAGTTATAATCTCGGAGCCTAATAATATCAAACAAAAAAGAAGAAGGTAAAGTGATTGATTTTCATTGCACGAAACCACACTACGACTTAATCAAAATATAAACGCACAATTGACTAGGACTGACAATATGACCACCAATGGTTTGTTCGTGGATAGTATTCCTTTGTAGTCCTCTTACTCATCGGGGTGCTGGAAGTATTAGCCAACCTCTTGTCCGTGGACTAGCTGGAATTCTGTCCTCGTACGTATTGGAGTTGGACGTTTTCGAAACTGTTGTCATCGGGCAGTCGTCTGGAACAACACCATATTCAGTTTCAAGCATGCCACGAGCCCTCGATTTTTTGTCGTGGAAGTTAACTCCGTTCCTTGGCCTCTTTTTGAGCCGACTTTTGCTCATCTGTCAGACGGACCCAGGCGTTGCAATCATCATTGAAACGAAAAAGTGATTTGGGAGATGCCGATTATTGAAGAAATGTCAATGATTGATTGAGGTGTCTGATGGCTACTACTAAAAGAAAGGGATCTCTTCCCACGTTCCTGGTCAGGTTTTTGAAAAATTCGTGCTGTCTAGGTGGGACGAAAGTAATCATGACCCAGCACTCACGTCGGGATATGTACGAGCGACATCTAGAGATGTTTAAAATGAAAGCGAACCTAGATGTTTTCAAATGCCATATTATGTTACAATTTATGTATTATTGTTGCCTACATGATAAGTGCAAGACTGATATATTACCGCAATCATTCCAGCATTCTAAGCCTTTCCATGACGTCTGTTTGATATCACGTCTCTTGTTTCCAGTCACCGAATTATCTGAAAAAGGACAAAGAATAATATTAAATGACTTGGGTTAATATAATCGATGAGCAAATATGTACAGAGCATTATGTACATAAAGCCGACCCCCGTCAGCGCTGGGGGGCTCTATCCTCCCACCAGTCAGTGTTCCCTTCGAACCTTCTGGACCCGTGACAGTTTTTATTCCGGTTTTAGATGGAAATGGTAAAATAATTGCAGTTCATCCAGTTGGCATTCTTGTCCAGAAGGAGCCTCTTCCTCCCAAAGACTCTCCAGCAACCGACCTTTGTAAGTCGTCTTGATATCAAATCCCTTTCGATGGGTTTCCTGCTGGAAATGGGGAAAAAACATTTGCATACATCAGTCCTCTAATCACCTTAGCACTATTAATTTATCAATCCCTCTTATCTAAATTGCATGCGGCAAATAAAGTGCTAGTGCTGGTATTACAAGATCGCACATCGTAGGCATAATTACCTTACGCTTTGTCGACATTTTCTTCATTCACTACAAATTGTAGGAATCAAAATAACTTTGTTTAGATTAGATCCATTACTTGACAAGTCAAATTTCAAACCGATCTGATCTTGCCTGACGAAATAGATGGTAACGTCAAATGCCCTGTTCACGCGAATAGTAATAAGCAATGAGTCACAGATATTAGCGCAATTTTTCTCGCGTCTATCAAATGCCTTACCAACAATTCAGAATTAGTCTTTCGATACGGTGCTTATGATCCTGAAAAAAGTGGGCGTCTGTTCAATTGGTGTCGAATGAGACTTCGGTATTGATAATACGAATAGAGTCCCGCACGTACTTACCGCGGTGTTTATTATTGTCTTACGTGATATCTAATCACAGTTAAAAAAGGTGTTGCAATAAATAAATAATATGTGGAGTCTATCGCTATTCTAATGCGTATTGTAAATGTGGTGGCTACCAAAGCGAAGACAAGTCTATGCGCTACGGCACTATGAAATGTGTGGGGAAAATCACGTGGTTCATTCTATCAGCCACAATCATATACTTACAACGCGGGTGTGCTCATAGATGAACAGCATATCTCTCTGCAGTTATGAATATGACTCATAGACACTTAATTAAACTATGTACTCGTCGCTTTTTATAAGAAAGTAATCACTGGTCCGGTAGTAGTAGAAGGAGATAAAGAAATAATCGAATTAGCCGATACAGTGGAGAGACAATTATATCTCCAAACGAATTACAACAACGTTCTTTGAACTGATTGCATTTTAAAGAATTGTATTTTATTTGATAAACAAAGGTTATTATATACATGATGAGTGATTACAACAATCCGTTTATCTCCACAATAATCCTCCGCCCCCGTATTCCAGTAGTCCTTGGCCTCTTCTTCCTTCTTGGGAATGTCTTTGTGTGTTGGCAAACGGTTGCGGTGCGCCGAAACTTTTTCGTTTGTCCGAGCCCGACACGGATGTAGTTGTAAAGGGGACTTACATAGTAGGCGTCTGCGCGGCTCCAAAAATATAATTTGGGTTTTTTGAAAAAGATGTTTTTTGTGTGAATGACGTGTGGCGGGGCCGCCGCGGGTGATTTGACTTTTCGATAAAAGCCGAAAGCCCCGCACACAAGATAAATTTGGTAATGGTAAATTCATCCATGTTTAAATAAATAAATGTATGTTTGTTTTTTATTAAAAATGATAAAAATTTGTTTTTACAACAAAGCCATTTTGTTGAAAGGCCTTCTTTTTCTTCTCGAGATCGAGAAAGTTTTTTGTGTGTGAACGGGCGCGTGTTATGCATCGACGGGTGATTTGGTTTAAATCATAGCCAATGTAAAATACGTGTAGTTAATTGAGCAAGCGTTCAATGTGTGAAAAATATAAACAAGGAAAACGATGAGATTAAATAGATTTACGAAATATCGATATCTGCAAAACCCAAAAGCGGTCTGGATCTGCATCATTATTATTAGTAACAATTACAATTGTTTCGAATGGGAATCCTTTATGGAATTTTCTAAAATCTTTACTACGACTTTTTTAGTAGTAGTTTACTTATACGCATTGTTTGAGTGACATGCAATTGCGCGTGTCAGATAGTCTTGTATGTCGAACTGCTCATTATTACATTGATATAACCATCGAATTCTGATTTTAACTCGTACCAATCTCAACTTCAGTTACAAACATTTTCAGTAATAACTGTATGCCAACTAATACGTACGTGTTAATTTTGTGCTTGTACGCGTTTATTTATTTCAGACGTAGGCTAAACTCTTTTCCGTAACGACTTTGACATTTATTTTGTAATAAACCCAATTTCAATTACATTTCGCGCGCCTTCTTTTAAAGATGAATACGATGCTTTATATTTAAGCGCTTGCTTCGATATTCAGATTCATTTGGATCAGAGCAGTCATGAAAACATTTATAGTCTAGTGTCTGCACACCTGACAACGATAAATTTGTACAGCAGAACTACTACTAATTATCAGATAAAGATAGAGACGGCATAGCATAGGACTATAAAACACTACCCGAAGAGAAAAAGACTATTAACAGTTATTTTATTTCCAATCATGTATGGTGTATACTTATTGCCACATTGCTGATAAATCAATAATATAACGTTAGTGAGCAGAATTTTAATTTAACAAGCATAAAGCTTGGGGGAAAGTTGGGTACCCGCATATTGAATTAATCTCGTTAATTTATGTTTAGGAATTAATAATGTCGTCATTTGTCATACGGGCAAAGACAAACAATTATATCACCTGAGGTCAGGTGCAACATATATATACCTTAGAACGAAGAAATGCAATTAACACATAAATGCCTAATACCCGTTGTATATTATATCATAAATTATTTCGTTAATAAAGTCAATTTCAGCCTCGAAATTAATGTTTCTCTTTTCACTGTAATGCTTCTATTGGATTTCCATCAAAAGTATATGCATTTCGCTTCTTGTCTTTATCACACGCTATGGCTCCAATACTCTACTAACGTTATGGGCACTCATTGACGAAATAATATTTTAACAATATAATAATAATGATAAATTTATAATAACAATAGATTCATAATGGGTATTACCCTTTCATGTATTAAACATAAAATTTCATAAGCGCAGTTTTTTTAAACTGAACACTTTTCACGCTTTTCTCATCAAGACATCGACAAACGAGTATTCGGTTACTTGCTTATTACATAGTTACGAGAACTTAGTGCAAAGTGTTAATTCAGAGAAAAATAATAATAATAACCGAATAATTCGCATGCTCTGTCTATTAGCCTTCATAATTTTATAAAAAAAAGCAATTATTCCGAACTGCAAAGTAAGTCCAGCAGTGACTCACTAATATGGGTAGCCCAGTGGTCTTTACCTAGTATTTTTTTTTCTTGGTCAAGCCTTTATCAACTGCAAAAAGAATTATTTTGGCTCGCTCTTAGTCATTACCAATTGTATAAAAAACGCGAACTGTACACAAAACTGTGGCGCTGTGTGTCTTGTTCAATTCTTACATCAATGTATCAGCGTTGAATAAAGAATCAAGACAATAATAAATAACGAATATAGATAATTTATTGGAATAATTAAGACACCCCAGAGAAGTAGTTCCGCTTCCAGTTTTATCTTTTCAGCAGTAACCAATTTATTTGTTCCGCCTGGAAGAAGGGTTTTTATATGATAAATTTTATATACTTGTCACTTTGTATCCCATTTTTCTCTCTTAGGTTTTCTACTCGCGAACCATCACTTTATGATTAAGTGTCTGAGTAATGGTCATACAAATAAAACTGCAGAATATAAAATACACCGAAGTGAATTTTCGATCAATCGAATAAATATTGAAATCGTATCATATTAATATATTAATCACACAAGTAGTCCTAAAACTGGTTACCGGTATATAACATACTGATTTCCTCAAACACGTTATTCTTACTTAAAATTTTACTTGTATGAGTTGATTATTTTTGGACTTCTAGTACTTCTAGTGTAATCTGACAAATAACAAACCCGTCTTTGTCAAGGCAATTTGTTTTCACGTAAGAGAATGGTTGTCATTTAATTTGACGGCCAATAAATCCAACCACGTTAGCATTTTAATATGAGACATGTCCGAAGGAAATCTTTCTTATATTATTTCTAGTTCACAAAAAAACATGTGTTTGAACAAAACCAAGATTAAATTTGAGGTATTAGTATAATTATTATGGACAATCGATAAATTTTGGTACGATAACTTTTACTGGTTGTGTTTATTGACAATAAATAATAATATGGTTAGAATCGTAAAGTAAAAGTGTTGATAAAAGTGTATCTATTGCGAATGGTATATATGAGATACTGATACGTTCATTTGGATATGTAATTCTGCATAGTGTACTACTAATATCCAGTGGTATCGACATTTAAGAGCTTGGCAAAGAAAATTGCTCGAGATAATGCATTATTTGACACAATTACTGGAAGCTAAGTATGACATGAGTTATTACTTAATTACTAAAAAGTCGTTGCAAAGCAATCTTTTACAACAGTTAGAGTACTTGAAAAGCTTTACTTATTCAATAATACTAATAACTTTTGAACAGAAAGTTTTATTGTCATAAATTTACCAAAGCACGTGTATTTTGCACATACGCTTTTTATAATC